ATCTACAAAGACCCCTATCTACATCTCCATTCCCGCTCTTCCTCTGTCCACTTTGCTCCAGCCACACTGGCTTCTTTGCTGTTTCCCAACACTCTAAACATATTTCTAATGGCCTTTGCCCCTTCAGATTTCTCTGCCTGGGTTTTTCTCCCCCTAGGTATTCAAATCACTCCCATATTTCTGGCCTCTGCTCAAATGTCATCTTCTTAGGAAGACCTTCCCACACTACCCTATATAAAATAGCTACCAACTGCTCATACCCTCCTCAAAATCCCCACTCGATACTTCTATTCAGTTTCATTTTTCTTCATAGCACTTACTAGTTTCTAACATCTATCTATTTATGTTTTTGTCTATACCCCACCTAGTAAATAACTCAACTCCTCGGGAAATCAATGCCTAACTCCAAAGAGGCATGCAATTAATACTTGTTGAATGAACAAATGAATAAATGGTACATTCAGGAAACAAAACAGCTCTAGAAAGAAAGGTTAGAATCAAATCATCTGGATGATCTGAATGTAAGGCTAATGTTCTTAGCCTTTATCCTTTAGGCAATAAATCTGTGATGCTTCTGGGAGGGAAAAAAAATGATATGCCTGTATTTCTCTATTAGGATGGTAGTAAGAGTAATGGAAAGGAAGGACAGACAAAAGTGACACTAGGAGATACCTGACAAGACTTAAAAATCATTGGTTTAAGAGGTTTCAAGTTTGAGCAACTGACAGAAGAGAACAAAAAATTCAGAGTCAATTTGAGAAAACGATAGGAAGAATGTTATCTGAAACAAAGTCCAAGATGCTAGAAGGACAATCAGGTAAGACACGTACAGGTTAAAGCTGAAGGAAGAGATACAGGAGCCATACACACAAAGATGAAAGTTAAATCAGCAAGAGAAGAGCAGATCAAATTTCCCCAAAACAGATGAAATTTTCCAAGAAACTTCAGAGTATCACATGCCAGCAGCAATATTTAAGAAACATATGCCTTTGGGGAGGGATTAAAGATGGTGGTGAAGGGTGAGACAGATGCCTCCTCCCAAAACCAGATATAATACGAAAATATAATACAACTATTCCTGAAACAGCAACAGGAAAGAAGGCTGTGCCTGACTGCATACACCTGGAGAAAAGAAAAGACCTCACAGAACAGGGTAATGATCAAAGCTGTGATCTGGCGGGACCCAAGGCCTTTGACTACGCCAGCTCACTGGCAGGAGGAAGAGAAATGGAGCAGAGAAGGAGTGGAGGCCTGGGACTGCTGAACACCTAGCTCTGAAGATCTGCTCTGGGAGCACGAACCTACCTTGCATGGTACTCTGGAGATTAGTGTGGTTGGAAAGTTAAGATAGGCAGAATACTTGGAGATTCCAGCCACTTGTGGAAAACAGGGATCCACATCCGCTGCTCTGGGACAAAAGAAAGGCAGGCAGAAGACTTCCTAAAAGTGAGAGGGCTGCTAAAGGGGCAGGGATTGAACAGAGCTTGCAGCTCAGGAGAAAGGTCAGGTAGACAAAATTGTCCAGGCACACTCTGCCCAGAAGGTTGAGAAGTTTCAGGGGCTTCAGGCACTGGCTATGCTATGCAGGCAACCCTGGCTGGCTATGTAGCTCTGAGGCCCCTCACCATGATATGCAGCCTGCTGCGCCTTCCTACTGGCCGGCCGGCACCGGCTCACAAATGGCAGCCCCTGCTTTCACGTCAGGCCAGCCAAAGGGACACTCTGCCTACAGGTGCTACAAATGCAAAGCAGAGGCTTAAACCTGTGTGTTCAGCCCACTGGTTCTGGCAGTGGAGACAGACACAGCAGCCAGGAAGCAGGACACAGCTCTTTCCTCCTCACAGGCACAAGCTCCACTCCCCTGTGACCCCCACCATTGCTCCAGGGGCTGAGCAGCTCCAGAGAGTAGAGCTTCTGGGCACTAGAGGGCGCCACATACAAATATGAAACATCAAAGGAACCTGAATCAAACCAAAATCCCAAAACACCTAAAAAGGGCCAAAGTGAAACTGAACTCACCAATATTCCTGAAAGAGATTTCAAAATAAAAATCATAACCATGGAGATACAGAGAACAATTCAAGAACTCAGGGACAAACTCAGGACTGAGATTCAATCATTCAGGAATACAATATGGGAAATGAAACATACAATGAAGGGATTTAAAAGCAGATTATATGTAGTGGAGGTGGTAAATGGAATAGAAATTAGATAAAAGGAATATAATGAAGCTGAGGCCCAGAGATTAAAAAGGGATCTCTAGGAATGAAAGAATATTGAGAGAATTGTGTGACCATTTGCTGGAACAATACTGGCATTATAGGAATACCAGAAGAAGAAGAAGAGACAAAACAGGATAGAAAGTGTCTTTCAGGAGGTAATTGCTGAAAACTTCCCCAAACTGGGGAAGGAGACAGTCTCTCAGGCCAAGGAGGTGCACAGATCTCCCAACACAAGGGACCCAAGGAAGACAACACCAAGACATATAATAATTAAAATGGCAAAGATCAAGGACAAGGACAGAGTACTCAAACCAGCCAGAGAGAGAAAAAAGATCACATACAAAGGAAAGCCCATGAGGCTATCATCAGATTTCTCAGCAGAAACCTTACAAGCCAGATGGGAGTGGCATGATATATTCAATGCAATGAAAGAGAAGGGTCTCAAGCCAAGAATACTCGAACCGGCAAGATTATTCATTTAAATTTGAAGGAGGGGACTAAGAACAACAAATGCTGGCGAGGATGCAGAGAAAGGGGAACCCTCCTACACTGCTGGTAGGAATGTAAATTATTTCAACCATTGCAGAAAACAATACCGAGGTTCCTCAAAAAACTAAAAATAGAAATACCATTTGACCTGGGAATTCCACTCCTAGGAATTTACCCAAAGAAAACAAGTTCTCAGATTCAAAAAGATGCATGCACCCCTATGTTTACTGCAGCACTATTTACAATAGCCAAGATATGGAAGCAACCTAAGTGTCCATCAGTAGATGAATGGATAAGGAAGATGTGGTACATATATACAATGGAATACTATTCAGCCATAAGAAACAAATCCTACTATTTGCAACAACATGAGCTACAGCGTATTATGCTCAGTAAAATAAGTCAGACAGACAAAAACAAATACCAAATGATTTCCTTCATTTGTGGAGTGTAACAATGAAGCAAAACTGAAGTAACAAAACAGCAGCAGACTCACAGACTCCAAGAAGGGACTAGAGGTTACCAAAGGGGAGGGGTGAGAGACGGAGAAGGGGTAAAGGGTTATTATGATTAGTACACATGGTGTAGGGGGGATCATGGGGAAGACAGTGTAGCACAGGAAGACAAGTAGTGACTCTGTGGCATCTTACTAGGCTGATGGACAGTGACTGCAATGGGGTGTGTGGGGTATCTGATAATATGGGTGAATGTGATAACCACATTATTTTTCATGTGAGACCTTCATAAGAGTGTATATCAATGATAACTTAATAAAAATATATAAAAAATAAAGAAAAAAGAAATATATGCCCTTAAGGAGCAGAAGGAAGAAGAAACTGTGAAGAAATAAAGACTCAAACAAGTATAAGGTAATAAACAGAGGTCATTACAAACCCTCATCAAAAAAGTTTAGTCCAGATCCACACTACAAGCCAATTACTTTTTCTAGCTTCAGTTTCACCATTTATAAAACATAAATAATGATATGTGTATTAGCTGCTGTTTTAATAATAGCACCTTACAAGTGGACAGTACTTTATATTTCCTAAATTACTATTCAGCTTATTTCATTTAATGGCACAACCATCCCATGAGGCAGATCTTTTTACCCACATTCTATAACTGAGGAAACAAAACTAAGATTCAGTCTCTTAGTTCATGACTAGGAAACTAGCATAATGTATAACATACATCTTCTGCACACATTTCAAAAAATACAGGTTCCAGAGCCAGACTTTCTTGGTTCAAATCTAGCTCTGTCATTTGCTAGCTATGTGACTGGAAGAAATTATTTTAAGTGTTACAGACATTACTCTTGACAAAACGGTATTTATCTTCCTTAGGCCAGAGAAAGGAACTACAGAGAAATTTTAGGGTGAAGAGCTTGTTAAATGGGTTTGATTTCCTCAGTAAAGGAAATAATCTACTAAGCGTAGTGTGGGCAGGGCAGTTTTCAACTGTGGTCTGCAGATTTGCTATTGAAGCCACACATACAATCAAAATGAGATGTTTTGTTTTATATCTTAGGCTTCCTCATAATTTTGTTTGAGGGGTTCATCTATATTCAAGTTTTAAAGAAATTAATTACATTCATTTCTAAGATCTGTTTTATGTATAAGATTATATGATTTTATAGCACAGAGAAGACAAGTAGTGACTCTATAGCATCTCACTGCACTGATGGACAGTGACTATAATGGGGTATGTGGTGGGGAGTTGATAATGGGGGGAGTCTAGTAACCACAATGTTGCTCATGTAATTGTATATTAATGATACCAAAAAAAAATTACATGATTTTACTCTTTGCCTTTGAACCCATTACTAGCTTATTCTCCATCTTACCCATCAAACAAGTATAAACTCTCCCTCCTCTGAGTCTCACAGCACTTTGTTAGTGCCTTATGACACTACACATTCTTCAGTATAAACATAAAGTCCACTCTCTCAATCAGACTTAACAGGGCAAGCACTTCTTCATTTATCTTAGAATCCCTCAACCCCAAACACAATGCAGGCAAGCACTTCATAAGTACTTATTAAATGTGCAGTGATTTAATAATGTAAATATACTAAAATTACAGTGGACTTTGGTATCCACACATTTCATGGCAGTTATCATTTGATGATTATTCATCTCAGTATAAGCAATATGCACTGATGGTCTACTAAGGAACATCCATTTAAGACTTTAAAAAAAAAAAAACACAAAATGTAAAATAAGAGAAATAGTTATTTTTCACAATATATCCTGCATACACTGAATGCATATAAGAAGAAATACAACTTACCCTGATACAACTGAAACAACAAAGCTTGGAACAGTGAGGACACAGGCGTGCATCCCGCAATTTCTCCATACAAATGAAACATCGGAAAACTTCAGCAATGCTCTGAAAATGATAAAAGATGTAAGGCCTACCAGTTTAGGTTACTGAATCAAGAGTAAAAAGTATGCTTAAAACAATTCACTCCATATTTATTTTGGGCTGATAACGTCTCAGTTTTAACTATACTGCACATCAGAATTTGGGCTAGTGTAGATCCAGCATACCTCAGAACATCTAGAAAAAGTGCTTTCTTTTTTCTAAGCTTCACCAGTGCTTCTATTCTAAGAAAAGGATTATGAAACTCAGACTTACATACAAATATTTTCACTGAAGCACTAATTATAATGGCAAGAATGTGGCTACTGCACAAATGTTGAAAATATTAAATAATGGCAGTTGACATAGATATGATTCACTAGAATATTTCTTGAATAATACTGAAAAAATACTTGTGATATATAACAGCAAGAAAAAAAGGCAGACTAAATGATTGAATAAACATTAACTTTTTGCTTTTTCTGCTATTTCCCCAAGGGAGCTGGATTGCTTCTATAATTTTTAAAAGTTTTAAAAAAGATATCCTAATGGCCATGTACTCTGATCAATAAACTAATTTTCAGAATCTAGAAATCCCAATTTCTGCATTAATGCTGCAACCAACTAGATACTTATTTGAGGCTAAGATTATGCCCCTACTGAGAATTTTGATGGTACCTCTATGAAGGTTTTGGGGAAAAAAAACTTAAATAAATGGAACAGTATTATCTTTGGAAGCTTCGGATGAATTCATTTAGGAAGTTAACCGACAAGAAAACAGATATAACTAGATGTAGATTATTACGTATTTTATTTTTACAGTACTCACATTTATTTTTACTCAGTTTCAGGAGCATTAAACTCTCCTAAATCCAAGAAAAGGTTACAAAACCTTTATAATACTTTCACATGAATAATTAAGGGGACTTTCACATGAATCTAACTGTAACCTCTGCAGGGTCAGGAAGAACTGTGAGATGCAGATGCTGGGGGGTGGACATTAAGACCATTGGGTGAACTAGTTTGAAGTCGAGAGCTCAGTAACACAGTTGATCCTTACTAAGAAGCAAGGATTTAGTTATTTTAGTATTTAGAAGGTTCAAAAGTTGGCAATTACTGTATAATTACGTCCAATAAGCAATCCTTTTAAATGTTCATAGACTGTACACACATATCCCAACCACTGGAAATCACAACTTCTAAGAGTCAGATGTTAAATAGGTTGTTCTGGAAAACTACAGTCAAATAGGATGACAGTAATGACTACATCCTCATTCAATGAAAGAATGACAGAAATCTGCAAATATACCGCTAGGAGAGAGTGATTATCCATTCGGACGGAGATTTGGACCCGAGCAAAACTGGTCTTTCTAATGAATTTGCAATTTTGCTCTGCACAAGTTGTGGTTTGCAAAATCCCAGTGGGGATGAGTTACCGATGCCAAGACATCACGAAAACGCCAGGATAACGCACCACCTGACTGCGGGAACGGTCAGAGCATAAGGCACCCAAAGAGCTACAGAACGAACACGGCGTCCTTCGCACCCGGCCAACCCTCTCCTCAGCGGCGGGGTGGAGGTACCCTACAGGAGGACTAGGGCAAGGCTCCCCAAATAAAGAACGCTCACCGGGTGGCTGGGGGAGACTAACCACCACCTTCTCAACCCCACTCACCTCCACGCTCTGTTCATCCATTGCCTCCGGCTCTCGGCGGGGGCCTCGGCGACCCGCGGAGTCCGTGGTCCGACCTATCAGATGCTGGCCCGAGGTCGCCAGATCAGACTGCCGCCGAGAACAGCCTGGCGCCCACGTCAAAGAGCTCCGACGACCGCCCCACCTGCACGCCCCATCGCTTCAGGTTCGGCGCCAGCTACCCCCACTTCGCCATTTTTATCCGCGCGCCTGCCCTAGGCGCAGTTGGGACGGCGACTGGCGGCCACAGCTCCTTCCTCTGGACTCAGCCGCACGCCAGCCACCTCGAGGGAGCCTCGGCCCACGTGACGCGGGCACGGGCCTATAGCACTGAGGCTGGAGCCCGGTGGCGCTACTCTCCAGAGAAGGTGCTGCAGGAAATTCGCAGACACCAACGGTAACCAGGGCAGCAGAAGGCGCGGCGCCGAGGAAAGGCACAGTGCGCATGCGCGCAGGGCGCTCGTTACGGGCGCGGAGCCGAGAGGCGGGCGCCTAGTTCCCGCGGTGTGGGCCACACACGAGATTTGGCGGCCTGCTCCCGCAGGGTTGAGTGCTTTCGGCCCCAGGCTCGCGCAGGCCGCGGAGAATGTGCGTCTTCACTGTGCCCCGCCCACTGGGGAGGGGGAAGGGCAGGGGGCGGGGCCCATCGGGCGGGGCCCACCCGTCTCAAACTTTTCAGCGCCAAAGACTGGAGCCACCTGGAGTGCTAGTGGGAAATGCAGTTTTCGGAGTAACGTCCCCTAGGTATTCGGGCACCGTGAGTCTAAGCTGAGGCTCCACCAAGTCGGCGTTTCCGATGACCATGCTGGGCGATCTGACTGCAGGCGGCCGGCACTTTGAGAAACCAGCACCTTGAGAAAGGTGGTGCAGAGGATTCGTAGCTAGTGGTTTTCTCTTGGAGGAATCCCAGATTCCCAGGTTTTTAAGACTTTCGTCACACCTACCCAAACAAAGCTCCACATTGCGGCCTAGAACCGTGTAGTTTCTTTTTTCGAGTGAGTGGATGGGAACAGACTGCAGAATCCGACCCATACCACCACCACAGCCCGCCCTGCATCTCCTGCAGCTTGAAGTGATCTGTTGCCATGGGACTATGAAAAGGACAAAAAGGTATCAGCTGTATTCAGCTTCCCAATATTGGCGTCTGCTTTCTACGATTTTCTAGCCTAAGAGATGTTTAAAGATTGCGGGAATTCAAAAAAAAGAGCTTGTGTCAAATCATAAATTTAATTTTTCCGTCCTGGTTTGTTGCTGAGTTATTCCATTTAACCCAACCTAGAGTGCACGGGATAATAATCTAGAAAAAAGTTATAGAATATGAAAGCATTTGGACTTTCACCTAAGAGGCGGACAATTTTTTTTAAATATGTGACTCACGGACAAAGAATTTAGTAAGATTAATCTGACTGAAAAATTTCACCAAAATCAATTCGTCTTGGAATTAGAGGTGATGGTTGCACATCATTTGTACTAAAATGTCTGGTCATACACTTTAATAATGGCTAATTTTGTTTTGCAAATTTCACCTCAATTTAAAAAGTTGTGGTACAGTACTGCACTTGGGATCTAGAGTAATTAGAATTGGTCCTTGCTACCCAGTACAGTTGAAAACAAGAAAAACTACAGATACATGTGTGGATAAAATGGGAGTTCCTGTGGCCAATACATGCCTGTTGACTATATAAAGAGCTCCGCCCAGTGCTCTGGGCGTGACACAGGCAGGATGGCAAGGCCACCAGAGAGCAGAGGCTGGAGTGGTGGCAGCGCTGAGGACAGAGGCCCAGAGGGCAGCTGTGCGGGACGGTTATGCAGAGAGACCCAGAGGACGGCTGTGAGGGAAGGCTGTGCGGTACAGCTGTACAGGCAGAGAGACCCAGAGGATGGCTGTGTGGGACGACTATGCAGGACAGCTGTACAGGCAGAGGCCCAGAGGATGGCTGTGCAGACAGACGGGCCCAGAGGCAGAGACCAGCTTGCTGCATGCAGACTCGCTCTGAGTGATTTTAGTGACCTGGAAATAAAGTTGGGTATAACCCTTTCACCCCAAGAAAGTTTTGCTGTCAATTTCTTTGGTCACATTGAATCCATAGCGAACTTGCCTGGGGCTGAAACCCATTGGCAAGACAACATGGTAAGTATTACTAGGTTCCAATGGATGTTTGCCCAAGAACACAAAAATGTTTAAAGATTTATGCAATAGCTCACAAGAATGAAACATTACAACTAATTACAAGTTATTGGTTGCAAGCACAAAGTCAGATTCTGGCTAACTTAAGCGAAAACAATTTAGTTGGCAGGATGCTACACTATCCTGTGGACTGAGAAACCTGTGATCTGCTCCTCACAATTCCGCAAGGAGGAGCCAACACTTCTGCTCTCCCCCAGCATGCTCTCCCCCCATCTTCTAACTTGCCTATTAGAAAGTTTAAATGACTATCCATAAGGAAATGGTAAAAATTACAGTACACTCATAAGAATGGCAGACGTGTGACATAAAGATACCCAAAATATATTTAAAATGAAAAAAAACTAAGTGCAGCTGCAGTACAATGTATGGTATCAGCCTTTTTGTTGTTGTTATCAGTCTATTTTGGTAAAACAAATTTAGTTTGCATCCACCTAGAATCCTCAGGAGTTTTCAGATTACTTCTGGAGAATAAGCATACTTTATTTTTTAATTTCTTAAAGTTAAAAGTATTAAATACAACCTAATTAAAATTTTTATTCCTTACAACTTAAGATAGAAAAACACTGTAGTCACATAGAAGAAAACAATTATCCAGATGAGAAATAAAATATCTAAATTTAGGGTAGTAAGAGTGAGGAAAAAGTGGTGGCTGGATACTCTGAAAATTTCAGAAACAATTATATAGACTATTGATTAGGATAAAGAGATACAAACCTTTTAATTCCAGCTAACAGAATAGTGGCCATTAACAAAATAACAAAATCAGTAACTGCTCTGGATATGTTCGATCTGATTATTCAAATAGAGGTTTTTATTGGAAATACAAATCCAGATCTAGTAGTTGTATTTTGGGAATCAGCCACATAAAGGCAATAAATGAAGTTTGGAAACAAATATAAAAAGTTCAAAGAGACTATGAGGGGAAGAACCAATACTTAAAAGATAACTGAAGGGAGTCAGAGGAAAAATAGTAAAATCGAGGTTTTCCTGATAGAAAGCAAAACCACTTTCACACCCGAAACTTGCTATGACCGCTTCATGATACTTTGGGATACTATTTTTCAGTCCCACCAATCAACATGACCTTCCAGAGCCATCCCATTAACTTCTTTAATAAAGTGCCTGAATACTGAAGAAAATTAACATCTTTTACTAAGGTGTAACTTATTTCTCTGTAATTTAAAAAGAGGGGGGCTTTCCATTCTTTGAATATTCAAACTAGACAGGTCAATTTTAACTGAAGCTACTCTCTCAATCCTGTTTGTCAAGTACTAATAAGTTTGTTGATGGACAAAAACATGCTTGTAACCAATTTCCTTACATAAAAATATAATTTTACAACCTGCAGAACTAACATTTGACATGTTTTTCCCTAGTCTTTTCAATGTCTCATTTTATTACATATGTGGAAATATCATTTATTGAAGGATAACTCAATATCAAACCCAAACACTACCATCCCATCATTCTTCCATCCATTTTGACAAAAAGAAGTTAAGTGATCAGCTCAGGGTCACATAGCTAGAATTTAAAACCTATTTACATCTCAAATATAACTCCAAAGCCCAATCTTAACTACAAAACTGCAATATCTGCTTCCCCTCTCCTTGCTATATATAGCTTCAGCATTTCCCAGAACATTTAATAATAATTTATTGGCAATCTGACATCTTGTTGTATAGATACACCATGATTTATTTGCCTGTTTACCTGCAATTAGCCAGACGTGTGTGTGTGTGTGTGTGTGTGTGTGTTGCTATTATAAACAGCCCTGTGATTAACATTTGTATCGCAATCTATCCCTACTTTGGACAATTACCTTATTGCCAATAGCTACTTTAAAATAAATAGGGAAATTCACACACACATACACACACACACACACACACAAACACACACACACACACAACTGGCAAGTCCTCTGATTTCTTTTTCTTAGCTTTCATATAGAAAGAATAATCACAATAATATAGGCTAAAGGAGAACAAAGGTAGTATTGATTTACAACAGGGACAGGCTAAAATAACATTTGAAAGCAGAGCTCATGCTACTCAATATTAACAGGCAGAAGTAACAGGAAAGAAGGTGAGGCTACCACAGAGAAGTAAGGTTTTTTAAGAGACTATAGGCCACATACTAGTAGTCTCATATTAGCACCAATAATGTGACCACATCTGCAATCAAAATTTTCAAAGATAAAATTATATACATATATGTAATATATAATACAAATAGCTTTTTCTATCCTTTAACTACCAAAACATGTTCATTTACATTTGACTAATAGTACATAAATATTCTTTTACAATAGGCAATGATGTCTGTTATCCTGATTATACAAAAACAGATGCAAAATAGCTTTAAGAGGTTTCTTTTCCTGAAATCACAATAGGAGTGTGTGTCCATTTAAAAAAAGCCCTTTATTCCCATGCCATCCTTTTGTCTGAACTTTATTCATATAACATCTGCCCTTCTTATATTCTTCTCTCTTATGAAAGGCATCACTATGCAGTCACCTAAGCCAAATCTCCTTTGTCATTCCCTCACTTCTAGTCATTAAATGCTAGCAAGACATACTCCTAAACCTGGAACTGATCTCTTCTCCATTAGAGTTCCCTTTTGCAAGTTCATTTCTTCAAAAGTCTGACATGTAAGATTTTAATTGTTCTGCTGCAATGTTCTCTTCTTTGGTCAGTGGTGATAGCTAGAAAACAAATGACAAAGTACTTATTTCACAAACCTTTCAAGACTGTTAAATTAACTTAGTCAACTTCTGCTTTGTTATACCAATACGTTTCCTTAAGCTGTTACTATGTATATGATCACAAATTTAGGAAGGCAGGGAAAAAAACAGATACTTGGCTATGTACATAGAAGGTACTTTTGATGTTTGAGCTTCCAAAAAACTTATGATTAAGGTGAAACAAGACCAGGAAATCAGGCAATTTTAGGACTGTAATTTAACAGAACCAAAGAAGTCACATTTGAATGACATATTCTAAAGATATCTTGAAAAAGAAATATGAACAAAAGTAGTCTAGAAGTTTCCTCAGAAGTAGAGAATAAATTTTGAAGGATAGTTAAGATGCTTTTCTTACAAGTAGAAATATTTCAAAATGGATAAATAATGATAAAATTTATTATCATAGCACAATAAATGCAGAGGGACAGACTTCAGGGTTGGTTCATTCAGCAGCTCAACAGTGTAAGGACTCAATTTTTGCCCTTTCACAGTTCTGATATCCTTGATGATGGCTTTAATTTAATTTTCATGTCAGCTCA